CCAGGAAACCTTCCTCGCTGAAATAAAAACTCAGTGATTAAATGGCGAAGCTTGAAGGCAACCTGTTCCTGGAAGAGATGTTTTGAGCTCATGATGCCGCCAACTAGTGCGTGAATACACAGACCTGAGTTTCTCCGTACAGGAAAAAGAATGCCAAGGATTTGAGCTTCTCAGAGGAAAGATGGTGGCATTGGTGTTGATATACCCTATTTTTCCGTGTATAAGACCCTCCCACAGAGCGTTGGTGTTGATATACCGTATTTTTCCGTGTATAAGACCCTCCCACACTTTTCTAATCCAAATTTAAGAAATCTAAGTGGGGCTTAGCAAGGGTGGGGGGAAAAGGATTAAAGGGCTGCAGGATCGCTTTGATCCCTGCTTTCCCCTCCACTTGTTTTTGTTCTCTCCTCAGCTTACTTCCTCAATTTTTAGTCTAAAGATTTTAGACAAAAGTATAGTCTTATACACAGAAAAATACAGTATATTCTCAAGGCCATTCACCCCTCTGAGTAGAGGCTGACAGCTTTGACATTGTCCGCTGGGTTTCAGTCCAGGGTTTACAGGAAAGCCACCTCCAAAAAAGGCACAGGACGTTGGCGAGCTAAAATGTGGTCCCTAAATGTGGTAAGTGGAGGTCACCACAAGTCCTCTACCCATTTTTACAAGGGGAGGGATAATGTGTTGCTGAGGCATGGCTTGGTTGTGACAGGGGCTATGGCCTCATGGAGTTGCCTTCATGGCCTAAATTTCACAATATCCCAACACTTGGGAAGGGTCGTCGCTAAGCAATGAGGATCTCAGTGCTGTTTTCCCCCCCTACAAAGTAGTCCCTCCGCTTTTGCTTTCTGACCATAGCCATCTCAGTTGTTTCCAAAGTGGCGTAGCAAAGGCCAGGGAGCGCTCTCACCGCAAAGCAGTGCAACTCCACCTAATTGATTCATGCACTGTCATCTCCCCCGCCCTCCCCACATCTTGCTTTACTTTTGCCAAGTGTCACCCAGCTGGCAGGAGATGTTTCTGAAGACCGCTGTAATTGGGCACCAGCCTTCTGGCGCTTGTGCAGGCATGGAGAGCACCGCTTTTACAACTTATTGTTTTAAAGCAATGTCACCTGTCATGTTCCCTTTGGAGGCAGTGTGAATTTTCTGCCAGCCCGTGTCGCAGCTGGTTTTTGTTTTGTGGCTTGGAATCGAGACAACTTCTTTTAGGTATGCAGAATAGATAGAGGTATGCCGGATGGGGCCCCCATTGCCTGTGCATTATTCTGCCCCGTTTGATCCCTTGTTTTTTGTTTGTTGTGCTTTAAAGGCAGACATTTATGGTTGGGATTTTGTGCTTGTCACTTTCCGGAAGGTCAGTTGGATACTGGTTAAATGACAAATTTGCCTGCAGGGTCTTTCTCCTCCCGCTTCACATTTTATTCTTCATTTCACCTCCCTTTGTATGCTGTACCATCATTTCCCGCTTCAACAATGTTTAGTGCGTTTTTCGCAGTTTTGGGCTCATTTGTACAGTGAGCTAGATCTTACTGCAGGGGAAAAAGTGAGATTCCCACAATAGCACAAAAAGAGAAGAGACAACCTGGTATTTTCAACTCCCCTTTACTGCTCCTGCTACCTTTGGCAGATAACAAATAATAATAAATCTAAAGAATTGTTGCTTTTATTTCACAATTGTCTTATTCCGTTAAGCCTGGTTGTGTCAAGCACCCCCCCTTCCCTTAGATCATTCAACTTTCCCTACACTTCTGTGATCGTTTTATTCAGAAACTAGAAAGAATTATTCTGACAGATGCTTCATTTTCTCCCAGGGAGTCCATAACGGAAAGCACAACTCCCAGTAATTGTGCTGGGAGTGAATGGCATCCAGACATTTCCAAGGAGGAAAAAAAGCAGGGAGTTGGCTCCCCCTAGAGGACAGATTGTACTCCAGAGGCTACAACCCGGTTCTCTTACTGGAGTCCTTGTTACCCCTCATGGAATGATTAATTTTTTGTTGTTTAGTCATTTAAGTCGTGTCCTCTTGCCTTCACTCTTTCCCAATATCAGGGTCTTTTCCAGGGAGTCTTCTCTTCTCGTGAGATGGCCAAAGTATTGGAGCCTCAGCTTCAGGATCTGTCCTTCCAGTGAGCACTCAGGGTTGATTTCCTTCAGAACGCATAGGTTTGTTCTCCTTGCAGTCCAGGGGACTCTCAAGAGTCTACTCCAGCACCACAATTCAAAAGCATCCATTCTTTGGCAGTCCACCTTCTTTATGGTCCAGCTCTCACTTCCATACATTGCTTTGATTATGTGGACCTTTGTCGGCAAGGTGCGGTCTCTGCTTTTTAAGACACTGCCTAGGTTTGTCATCGCTTTCCTCCCAAGAAGCAGGCGTCTTTTAATTTCGTGGCTGCTGTCACCATCTGCAGTGATCATGGAGTCCAAGAAAGTAAAATCTGTCACTGTCTCCATCTCTTCCCCTTCTATTTGCCTGGAGGTGATGGGACCAGTGGCCATGATCTTAGTTTTTTTGATGTCGAGCTTTAGACCATTTTTTTGCACTCTCCTTTCACCCTCATTACAAGGTTCCTTAATTCCTCCTCATTTTCTGCCATCAGAGTGGTATTGTCTGCATATCTGAGGTTGTTGATGTTTCTTATGGCAATCTTGATTCCGGCTTGGGATTCCTCCAGTCCAGCCTTTCACATGATGCATTCTTCATATAAGTTAAATAAGCAGGGAGACAATATACAGCCTTGTCGTACTCCTTTCCCAATTTTGAACCAATCAGTTGTTCCATATCCAGTTCTTACTGTTGCTTCCTGTCCCACATATAGATTTCTCAGATGATTAATTAGACCCATGAAATAAAATTTCCAGAAGTGATCAAGAAACCGAACTGCCACTCAAAAAGATGTAGCCGGCATTTACCAGTTAGAAGCACAACATTTAAAATTGCTGCAGAAAATTTTAATGAATGGATTAATGTACTTGTCAAGTTCTGGCAGCGAGAAATTTTGAGGAGGAAAGAAGGAACCCTGTCACCCTACTGTTTCGGCAAGTCCCTTCTTAAGCATGCAGTTTTTGCTTAACAGACGAGTAGCTGCTTGATTGAAGGCTCATCTATACCGCATTTGCTCCCCAAAGTATATCTAAATGCATGCCAATCTCAGCATTCTTCCTGCCATCCATGTGAGGTAAGGCATGCTTTGGTACTTTCAGTGATGAAACAGTGGCAGAAAAGGGAGCCATTCAGTGTCTTTTTGTCCCTTTTACACAACATGCTTTTTTTCTTACCTTGTTTTGTTTCGGGGGGACAGAGCTCAGCACTAAGGGGCCTTTCGGTTCATTTCCAAGGTCCAAGTTTCCTTGGTTGGTCAGGAGCTTTTAATTTTTTAATCACGCCCCAAAGCTAGCAAACAAAGGCTCCAGAAGGGATGTTCTAGTGAAGAACTGGGCTTTCAAAAATTTATTTTTTGCCAACGGAATCAACAAGCTCTTGGAAGAAAAGTGGTGAAGTTCTTTCCCTTGCTCAAAAGTTTTCTATTCAGCTTTGTGCGACTTCCATTTCGTAGAAAACACACACGCTAATTAGCCTCAGAAGAGAAGCTCTACTAAGGGACTGTTTTTTTCTTCTTCTTGCTTTAGAGGATTGCAAAATTTTCTTGGCAGCAAAGAGGCTCACCGGGAAGAACTCTTAACAACCCTACATTATTCGCTCAGAATTAGCTGCAAATTTGTGCATGCATCAAATCAATCAGTTATGAAAAGTAAACGCAATGAACAGGGGATCTGGTGTGCTTTTATTAAAGCCAGTGAAGGGGAGGTGCCACAAAGTGAAGAAAAGGGAGTTGAAAAATAAGGTTTACACAAACACATTTTGCTTTTTTTGCACAACAGTGCACAGAAGTTTTTTAAAAATTGAGCAGCTGTAGCTCTCCAGTGTGATCCAGTCAAAATCGGAGATGCAAATCCCCCATCATACTACACTGAGAATAAATAACAATTTGCCCTGCTTTGAACAGTGCAATTATACATCAACTAAAAAAATAAAAACAGCACAACTTTCCTTTTGAGGTACACAGCAAAACACACACATCTTCACCACTTGTTCGCAGCTGTAGGTGTGTGCTCTGGGTCAAGGCAGGGCAATGGACAAGACAAGCGGGAGCTTATGCTAAACTCAACTAAATTCTGGGAAGCTCCCTCTCTAAATTAAGCCACAACTGCACACACAGAGAACGTATTGGCTTTTGTTTCTAAGGAAATTTCATAGAAATTGCATAGTATCCTGGACAACCCGGGGGGAGGGGGGGGAGAGAACACATGAAATGTTGGAAGGACCCCCACTGGTCTTTTCCCAGCCGTACTTCCGCTTGTGCGGAAACTTAAGCAGCCAAATGAGATGGAGAGCAGACTGAGGAGAGAAAAATCTAAATAAATTCAGCACTCATGTCCAGCAAAAAGAAATGCATCTTCTTTTCAGAACAGGGGAGAGCCGTATAAATCAAGGAAACTATAAAGCCAGCATTTCTTAAGATGGAACCAGACCAGTTGAACCACCATAACTGGGCCATGTGGATGCACTCTGGTGGTGAAGGAAAATATGGGGTGTTCTACCGGAGTGCCTGCAGAACTGCCTTCACCCCAAAGCTCCTCTCTCGCAAGCCCCACATGGATAGAAGCCATTTTGGAACATAATCTTAAAAGAGAGAAGGAACCAAACCAGTTGAAGTGCTGTCCAACCACCATAACTGGGCCATGTGGATGCACTCTGGTGGTGAAGGAAAATATGGGGTGTTCTACCGGAGTGCCTGCAGAACTGCCTTCACCCCAAAGCTCCTCTCTCGCAAGCCCCACATGGATAGAAGCCATTTTGGAACATAATCTTAAAAGAGAGACGTGAGAATGAAGACAGTCCTAGATCAAGGAGGGGTTTTGAAACAATCCAGAATTACATGTTATTTAAAAATAGAGATCCTCCCATCTAGAGAAAGAACACAAGCAAACAAAAATATGTGCATTCAATTCTCCATGTTCTGTATCCTCTTGGGGACCGATGGAAACAACAGTTCAGACAAAGGCAAATAGGGTTGTGAAATCTGTGCTGGACAGAGACCAGATGGGGGAGATTTTTCGGAACACACACAAGAGAAGTCTTTTGTGTCTAAATCTTCCAACACCACGTGCTAAAAAAGGAGGCACGAGGCCTTGTCTAAAAAGTGTATAGCAGATCTATTTTGAGAATCGTAAATAAGGAGGTTGGGCAGCACAGACCAACCTGTGCAATGTTGGTCATATTTTCTACACATCCAACCTCCCGTTTCTGGGAACTCCCAAAGTTCCTAGCCAGTACGGTGCATCTTTTTGCTCAGAACCGGTTGCTTAGCTCTTGGCCTCTCTCGTGAGCGCCTGCCCCAAAAATGAGTGCAGCAATGTGGACGTTGGGGGGGGGGGAGAGACTCAATCTGTCTAATTTGAGGACATTAAGCCTTGCGTCGCCAAGGACGAACTTGGCTGCTCCCTTTCGTGAAATGCAGACAGACAGCGAGGGAAGGAAAAGGAAACAGACACGGTCGGCGGTCGTTGTCTCAGCGATGGCAACCCCTGCCAAGAGCATAAGGCCTCATTCAAAACCACCTAAAAGGCCAAGGAAGGAGGGAGCAGCAGGGGGTCAGGAAGGAGCAGCCTCCAGTCCGAGAAGGACACGAAGACAAGCAGTAAAAATCCTGCAGAAAATGCTAAATGCTTCCCACCTGAATTGAAATAAAACCCCACAATAAAAACCATGGCACTTTTGTGTTCATACTGCACTTGCAGGAAGGCTGCAAGGCAGCCTGCGTCTTCAAGAGACCCAGGAGCGGATCTTCCTGGCCACAACAGCCAGAGCTGATGGTGGTGCAGAAGGGAGGGGACAAAACCCAACATTACACGCTAAACTTGAGAAAGTCTCAAGGGGGGCAAAGTCTTGGAGCAGAGGGCTACAATCCAAACCGAAAACACAGACCCGCAGCCTCCTGCTCAAGAGGAGCTAGGCTCTCTCCTCCAGCCAGACTCCTGTCTTTGTTTCATGCGCCTTGGTAGGAAGCGGCTGGCAAGGCAGTCTCTCTCCCACCACCTCTGCACCCTTTTCAGCCAACAACTTCTGCCATTTTCCTGGCGACGGAGTGCATGTGTTTGTTGGCCGTGCCGGTTATTTACAAATCCTTGGCGGCAGCCCATGGTCGCCACTACACGTTGCTGACTTGGGTCTCGGCAGAGAGAGTCGTGCTGGCGCTGGAGGTCATGAGCGATCGCTCCCGTCGGACGTAGCGGGGTTTCCGGACTGCAAATGGAAAAGGCAACATTAGCCCTAATGTTACACCTATTGGCTAATGTCCCATCGGATGGGGTGGTCCATGCAATGGGAATGATTGCTGGAGAGCTCAGTGGCTTTTGGTCTCTGGCTGCCGAGCCAGAGGTTGGGATCTCAGCTCCCCACTGTGCTCCCATGGCAGGGGCTGAACTTGATCAGCTTTATAGTTCTAAAGTGGTGATGATGACGATGATGACGACACTGGCAGGTGTTCAAGGACTAAAGGCTTCCTTTTATGTTTTGGGGTATTCCCCAAAATCACAGAAGGACGTTTTGCTCAGCATAAGGTAAAGTGTAATTTACCACTTCAGCGGCCGAAGCTCACATTAAAGAAAACGGTTAGTCTCTAAAGTGCTTGACAACTTTTTTTTCCCCCAGCACAATAAAGAGTTTCATGCCAGGACTCAGTGCAAGACAGAAAAAGAAATCATTACCTGAGGAAGGTGGTGATAACATGGATGCCTAGAAAGACAGAAAGAAGGCTTTGTCTTATCCGTGTTTCTTGATTTCAACATTCATATTCAACATTCATCACCATTTCGGGGAGTGACTTGAACTACCCCAGGGAAATCCGATCCCCCATATTCAGGGCGTTTGCTTCATTAAAACACAAAACCCCGTCAAGTTTGAAAAGTTTTCTAAATCCAAAACATAGCTCTGACATGACTCACACAAGAGAACTGAGCCTTTTTTTTCTACTGGCATCATTCAGGTTGCATGAAACTTTTTTTTTCTTCTAATAAAACACCTGAATTCTGCAATAGCAATTCAGATTCACAACACTCCTATTTAGAGATAAACATCTCATGGTCTTTTCCATTGAGTTCATGAAGAGCCTTTGGCATGTTCTTATGAAAACATTCATTCATTCGCTCTCAACCATCTCCCCCGGCCAAATTCAACAGGCATAGCTGACTTCCAGTATGGAAAGAACGATATTATATCCACCTGCCGTATAGCTGTTAAAACACGGAGGGCTTAATAGGAAAAATAGGTGGCAACACTAATTCGGCCCTGCAAGCAGAGCGCTATGTACAAAATTCAGAGCCATGTTTAAACCTCCGAATGCTCCTGCCTCATGGGCAAACACGTCTCTTTCATTCATTTTTAAGAATCATCTTTTATCAAGCATACGAGAAAGTCTGAGAGTTTTGTAATTCTGTACGCCAAAATGAGGCGTACAAAATTTCTACCTTTCCCCTACTTCAGTTAAGCAATGCGATCTGAAGTCTGCATTGATTACTTACTGATTCAGCAGACTGTACCACAGACCCTAAAAGAGTGGGGGGAAAGACAAGGGGGAAAAAGAGTGTTAATGGATATAAACTGCCCTCTGCCATTCATGCACATTTTTTAAAAACCGGCTCTGTCCTGGGTAGTTGTTTCAAGATGATCTAAGAAGGTACCCTTTTTCCCTCAGGTTCTCGGCGCACAAACAACAAAATATTTCGTCATTTGTTTGACTCCCGGGGGCTCACTCATATCTCAAGACCACTATTCTTAAGATAGTGGCCCTCGATCAGATGGGCAGGATAAAAATAAGAGAGAGACAGATTCCTCCACATGAGATTGCCTCGGCTTTGAGATCAGCCTTTTTCTAGCCTCACCACTTTCACAGGTATGTTTGGTGGGGCTGTGGAACTCCATTCCACAGGAACCTAAACTGTCCCCCTCCCTAATAATCTTTTTCCTGCAGGCAGGTCTTACTCAGCTAAGCCCCAGTTAGCTTACGGGTTGCTTTTAACATAGAGATCCTGTACTTTTGCATTGAGAGGATTTTATCCTGCTTTTAATTCACTTGTCACTACACTGTCATCTGTGTAACTGTGTTTTAATCTGATCACTCCTGGTGGTTTTATCTGTTATGTTCTCAGCTAAACCTCTTGTGGTGTACCTCAAGTCTGAGTTTTGGATGAAAGAGAGAGAAAATATAATAAAATAAAAATGATGGATCAATAGCTCCTAGGATATCCAGATATGCTTTTAAATATGTATACTTTTAAACTACCTTACCTTTAAACTACTATATATACTTTTAAATTTTCTGGGAGAGTAGTTTAAAAGTGTAATTGTTTTCACTTCTGGGATATAGATGGCTTTTAAAAAAGCTTAGGTTAAGAATTAAGGTGAAAAGGAGAGAGGTACTATGAGCCATGACCACTTATTATTGCTTCCACAATTGGTGGCAATGTAATTAGGAAAACCTAATTACAGGGAGACGAAACTACCTAAAACACCTCTATGGACTGTCTGTGAATATGAGCACAGATCTCTCTGAAACAGCAAAACTTGGGTCTGAAATGATAGATTTTAAACTCAAATGCCTTAGAAACCTAAGGCAATAATATACCTTTGCTTCTCCTGTAGAAGAGATCTGGAAGCTTATTGGCACGTTTGAGGTAGAAGAAGGAGGCGACACACAGTATGAGGAAGAGGCTGATCACAAATGTCCCAAAAATGAGCGAAGCGGCCACTTCTGGCCCTCCTGCCGAAACAGAAGAGAAAGAATGAAATTATTATTTGTTATCTTGCTCCTACTGCTGTTAGAAGATCTGTCATTTCAAATCTGGGTCCCTCAAGAACTCTCGGGTAGACTTGGCAGCTTGCTATCTTTATTTCCGTTTGCCAAATTATCATTGGTGCTTTGCCTCAGCCTTACTCTTGAGTAAAATGGCAGAAATCTTGTGACTAATTTTAGAGTGCTCAGTGGTATGTAGCTGAAGGGTTATTGGAAACCACAACAGGAGCAGGGTGAGCCAAGCCCATTAAAATAAGGTCTTTTTCTGTATTACTCACCTACACCAATAGTAACTGGGCTTATGGTAGTGAGGTTGGTTTGGGAATTCATTCCTCTGGCAACATCCGGAAGGGAGCCAGCTTTTGCAGCGGCGCAATGAAGGAAAAAATAGAGAAAAGAATATGGTTAGGAAGCCTTAAGTTCATTTAAACTAGTCCTAAGATAGCATCATCTTCCAGTTACTCATTTCTCCTATACCCTTGTTCCATTTTAGCTTTCACGCAATGAGAGCCGGATGAAAACGCCCCTGCTGCACACCACAAAAGCCACATTTTGGTATAAATCATATTAACGAGGTGCACTCCATCTTAATATGCCTCCCCTTCTTGGCAATGGGGATGCAACTCCTTCAAAACCTGCCCAACATTTTAGACGATTCAGAGCATTTCACTTCATTGGCTGCTTTCCAATTGTCGGACTGAAATATTGGACAAATATTTGCAAAGAAGGACATCAGTAAAGAAGCAACCCTTCCAACGAGCAGACCAGGTAGACCAGTATTATGATCTCCACTGAACGTGGGGGTGGACACGGGAGGGAGATAGTGCAGATGTGTGTGGATTGCTGGAGATTATTCTGATGGGATGGACGTGAGGTACATCAATGGGGATTCTAAACAATCTGGAGCACTGGCTTATTTAGCACTACCAGAATGCATATGGGTTCAAATCTAGCCATGTATTTATTTATTTATTCATTCATTCATTCTAGCAAATTGCTATTCTAGTTATTTAAGAACTAGCACTCAAGCCCCTGAGCCTGCATGGTCTACTCATTTCAGTTTAACTTTCGTTAAACGTTATCAGGCAAAACCAAAGGAAAAAAAACACACATAAAATTAAAATTAAAAAAAATATCAAAACCTTGTGGCACCTTTAAGACCATTATATTTTTAATGTGAGTTTTTCATGAATTTAAACAGCCCAAGTTCTTTCCATCTGGTATTTCAAGAAATATGCAAATTTTGGCAGACTCTTGTAAACAAACAAAGGAAACAAAGTTCTTCCCCATCATTAATCTTCCCCATTGTTTATTTTTGAATAACATGGACAGCAAGACGGTAAGGAGTCCAAGGGGCGGCCTCAGAACTGGGTGAGATGGGGACTGTTCATACTTCCTGGTAGAGGCTCCTCAAAGTTTCAGGAAGTACAGACTTCCAGTTCTTACCTTGGTAGCCCTAGATATTAAATGTATGCCAAGTGGATACTCTACCCTTGAGTTAAGGGTCTGAAATTATTCTACAGCTGGATGACTAGGAAATAACAAGAATGGAAGGAAGAGACCATCACAGTGGTTTTAAACATCAGGCTGCTGAGCCAGAGGTTGGGAGTTCGATTCCCCATGGTGCCTCCCCAACAGGGGCTGGACTAGATGATCCATAGGGTCCCTTTTAGTTATGCAGTTCTAAGATTAATTATATTAAAGGTTAATTAATCACAGATGATTGAGTCACTGGAGATGAGTCTTTGGGAATTGGGAAGAGACGAGCCTTACAGAACCACCCCCCCACTTGACTGACTTACGGTTGCGGCAGTCGGTTAGATTGTAAACTGGTGCGGCCGGGACCGTTTCGTTCTCACATTTAATGCAGGTGCTGCTGCCATCCTCATTCCACCGCCTGTAGCAGCCTGCACGAGTGGAGGAGGAAAAGACGGTTGAGCTGAGAAGGGCAGGAAGCGTGCCAAGGTTACCCTTTCACGCACCATCAAAGACGGGGTGAGGCCCCCTTTGCTCAGTTTCTTTGAACCACCCCCAAAGGCTCCCTTTTCTTAAGGCTCCTCTGGTCCTTTCACTGCATCTGAATTAGACTTAAAGGAATCCAGAGCGGCAGAGTGGAAATGTCTTTTGGGCGGACAAGATCCAAGAGGCACTCAGGTAGGTGCAGAACAATCCACGTCTCTTTAGAAACAGTAGGTGTGCACTCAACATATCTCAACGTACTTCAGCCAACTACTCAGTATGGGAAAGGTCTCCTTTGCTGTCTGAGGAGACACACGCCCCAACCACCTCTGTTGGCGCTAGGCCTAGCTAGGACACAAAGTCTTCCAGCTTAGGCATCTGTAGGTGTTCCCATGGCAGAATGCGGAATTTGCAGTTCCAAAGAATTCCAGAAATCCCATGCCTAAATACTGTGCCAAATGGACCTCTGAATCCAGCACAGCAGCAATTATGGCCCTGTGCCTCTGAATCCACACCATAAAGTTCCTTAGGGCAAGAAGCTGCCATATTTCTGATTACTTTGTAAATGTTCTAACAGGAGTCTCAAATGAAGATGCTCAACTTCCAGCCCTGCAGATGTCTCTGGACAACCATCTCCGCAAGCTGCAGCCAGCACAACGAACAAGGAGAGCTGATGGGAGCTATAGTCTGGTGGCCATTGAAAAGCCACCACGGATCTCCCCTCTGAATGAAAGACATTTGAATTGATGTTTTGTGCTCAGTCTCTCCGTACAAGCGAAAGAAGCGGGTTGGCCATGCAAACTTACGGCTTCAATTTCAAGAGCCAAAGCTGCTGGCCTGTTAGCACACACACACACAGATACGCCTACCCACTGAACAAAAAGTGTGTGTGTATGGGGGGGGGGCTGCCTCTCAGCAGCCTTGAGCCAAAGACAGGGTCCAATTATTCCACAAAGCACATGACGATGCGCGCGGCTGATGGAGAAACAGAGTGCCCCTGTTTCCGTTTTCTTGGCTGGGAACGGCGCATTAGATGCCCCTAATGATAAATCACATCTGACATTTAATCTCAACATAAAAACCAGCCTACTGGGTTGGTTCTTGGCAGTAGTCAAATATATGTATGTGTGTGCACGGGCAAATATGCGTGGAAAAGAAAGCTCTTTTCCCGGCACCCAGAATGGCCAAAGATTAATTTTTCATATCTTTTGAAAGGTTAAAATGCTGAGCTCATTGACATCTCGTCCCTCCCAGCTCCTGTCAGATCACTTTGACTGGGAAAAAAATACATTAATTTTAAGTTAACCAAAAAGCTCGGGTGAGGAGAAGGGAAGCCACTTATTAGGCTTCCTCATTTTTTTTGGACCAACGTCACCGATCTGCCACTTTTGAACATCCTCCCACCCTTTTTGAGCCAAAAGGATCCTATCCCATGGAATACACCCCTTTGCACAAATTCACACCGAGAAGCAACGTTACACATTTTCCAAATGATCCCACTCGCCTCCGTATAACCAAGTTTTGCCTTGCAAAAATTGGGAAGTGGAGCCTCCCACCGAAACAGGTCACATAAAAATACGTGCGCTTTTCTGTCAGATCACTTTGACTGGGAAAAAAAATACATTAATTTTAAGATAACCAAACAGGTCACATAAAAATACGTGCGCTTTCCCCGCAACTTCGGATGTCTTGTTTTGGTCTGTTTTGTGCATTATTGGCTGTGGCAGTCAGGAAGTTGGTGTCAGATGCTCCAGAAGATACCCACCCCTGTGCTAGGATTTCAGGGTCTGCGCCTTTGAGCCAGGCGAAAAATAGGCTCATGATGCTGAGAGTGAATAAACAGGGTGCCTCGGAACAGGGTTCAAGCCAGGATCCTCCTCCTCCTCCTCCTCCTCCTCCCTGGATCACAATGAAGCTCAGAAGTTAAGCCTTCACGCCATTGGTCTTCCCAGCCATCAGTCATGTCATTCATTCCCCCACCACCACCAGCCAGCCCAACTCAGCGAGGGCGGGACTGCTTCTGTTGTCAAGCCATTCAGAATCAGAAAAACCTGCCAGATCATGTCATGTAAAGAGGCACAAGGAGATGAACCCGGCTAGATTCCCACCACCCACGTTTTGGAACGGGTCAAGAACCGTCGGACAGCCTACCTGGACTGCACTGGTTGTCAGCAGTGCAGGTTGTGTTTGCTTCCATGGCACCCGTGCAACATGCTAGCTCAGATTTCTACAGGAAGCGGGAAGAAGAAAAGAAATAATGATGACAATCACGTCTATTTCTGGAATTCTCATCTCCACTCCCCTTTTCTTTCATTTTTAATACCTGAAGAGCACAGAGAGGGTCATAGATAAACAACCCATTTCGCATCAAGTGTAGGTGACCTCCAGTTCTAACAGGGCTCCTTAAGAGCATGTGGGGTGCTTATGGCCTCTGAATCTATGGCAGACAAGCCAACCATAGCTGTCGGAATGGAGTCTGCATTCAGCAATGCAAAGCCTTCTGCACCCATTGCTGCTAAAGGAAACATGGAAGGAAAAGTGAAGGTTTAACATACATCAGATCTTCCCAAATTACTCTGGATTAGAGACAGGCAAGGATTAAAAAATGAATCCCCAAATTCAGTCAAAAATTGCTAATTTGTCAATTCGTGTTCATACAAATCAATGCCCCGATGAAAACGAATCAACAAATTTTAGCAGTTTTTGATTCACCTATTGGTTTGGCTATAAAGCACTCCCCCCCTCCAGGCAGCCAGAGACACTGAAATTGCAGGGAAGCTTCCCCTGAATCTCTACAATTCTTCCTTTGTGGATGTATAACTCGGATATCGAAAACCCAAACTTCACCAAACTAGCAGAGCTTGTAGGGGAGAGCCAAGGGAAGCTTCCCTACGAATTTGGTGTCTCTAGCTTGACACACCATTTTATAGGGTTTTAAAATAAAAAAATGAATTGACAAAATTGATTTGCTGATTCATCAGGAGAAAAAAATCAAAAATTTGTAATTCATGATTCATCGACCTCAACGAATCACAAATCAAAACGAATTACCATTTTCCTGATTCTTGCCCATCTCTACTCTGGATTCTTCTCTCTCATCACCCATAGGACCATGTTTCCGTACCTTTTTCAACCCACACCTCTTCTGGCAAAGACAGAAGTCTTGCGCTCCTTTGAACCCGGCCTTCCACATTTTTTTTTATTTCTCATTTGTAATACAGTGACTAAAAACAAATCAAAGCATTGATAAATTGGGGGGGGGATGACACCCAATCCTTGGGTTTTTAAAACATCAAAGCCATAATATTGAATACATTTTTCCATACTACACATGCTTTGTCTGAAAACCTGGAATGCAATGCATGCAAGAGCTGTAGTAAACTGTGAATATTTTGGGGGTTGGGGGCTGATGCCCCATCTGAGTGAAAGCCCCCCCTTTTAGAGCCCCAAATCAAGCTCAGCTCAAGAGCAATGCATTGCGTTTTTAAAAAAGTGTGCCATGTGCTGCCTTGTGTGCACAGATGGGCCATGTTGAACCCGCTTGCCCTACATCAGACAGGGATGCTACCAAAAGGAAACACGCCTCCAGGTCTCTCTTATCAGCTCCGTGTGTGACACTTGGAACCAAGAGATGAGCTTGCGAAGGAGGGTGTGTGCAGCCATGCGAGGACACACACATCAAGAGCTGCTCCTTTATGGAAAACACCAAGATGAGCCCAGATCGCAGTGACACAACTATTACCATATGCCTCCTTGTCTCTCCTTGACGGAAAGTTGGCTTGAGATCCCTCCCATAAAAGCTCTTGTAAAGCATCGAGAATAGCAAGGCTTCAGACTCGGAATTCCTGCCGTCAAGGGATAATTGGAATGCATTTCACAGTTTTCATGAAGGTGCAGCCAAATGTATTTTTAATTACCCCGGCTAACTATAGCACAGAGGACTCGGGTTCTTCTTCGGCTCTTCAAGGAATTTCCAAAGTGTGATTTGAGAAAGGGTTTGCTGTGTTTACTCCTGATATTCTTGGATACAGGATGTGATGTTTTTTGGTAAATTCAGGGTAAGGTCACAGGGCAAGAAAGGTGTGCATCTGATTGCACTGGAGAGGGTCCCTTTAACAGGAGTGATCTCCCTTAAGGTGGTCAGTCTGTCCATCCAGGGATTGTTTCAGGCCAGTCCCCCTAAGTAGCAGACCTACAACTGGACCAAAAAGGTCCTGCTTGAACATGGATCTGGGTCGGGCAGGAACACAATTCCCTTTGCATTGTGTGAGGCACAACAGGATCCCAGCCAGCAAATTACAACATTAAAACAAACGCATGAACCTGTGTGAAAGTACTAAACAAAACTGAGATAGCTTCATAGGAAGTGGAAGAGTGAGGAATGGGTTTTTCCTGCATTTCTCTCACTTTCTTTTTCTCTTGAACATGCTATTAGGAAATTAGGGTCAAATTTATTTTTCTTACGAATTTTAATTTACAAATTCCAACAAAGAACATTGAAAAAAATGAGAATGTAAAGCAAAACAAACAAACTGTAATTGACAAATTCATCCATCCAGGCCTGGCTTTGAGTGTTTCCTTCTTAGAAATAAGAGTTTGATTCAGAGTGCTTCACTCTTAGAAGTACAAGTTTGATTCATGTTAGAGCTGAATTAAGATCATCACCTTCCCCCCCCCCCCAAGGCTCTTAGTCTTTAACAAATATATGGCATGCATCCGTGTGGTCTGCACGCCGAAAATAACTGTATCCTGTTGAATATGGCCAGCGTGGATGGTTGAAGCACTCATCAGAACTCACAAATCATCTATTCAGGATGGAAAAGATTCTTATCCTTACAAGGTTCAGATGTTGGAGGAAGCAGGATGGCCAAATTTTTGAACTCCCTCATACCGGGGTCCCCAGCTTCAGAATCGGTCACCAAGTTTACGGCAAAGAAAAATTAGCCCTCTGATAAAAGTCTATCAAAAGCCCTCAGCCCCCCTCTCTCCCCGCCCCCCGCCCTGGAAGGCACACTTTTTATGACTGTGATGCCCTCTTGCCGCCAACGCTTCCCAGCTCCTCCATCCATTACATTATTTTATGGCCACTGCCTTTCCTTTTTATGGCTCCTTTATTTTTTCCCTTTTAGGTGTAATCCACTTCAGGAACAAGTCAGCTATAAAATCTGAGGACCAAATAAACAAATCATTATTGAGTTTAGGTACAGCGCCTGCCCCTGGCGCTGGGCTTGAGGATTTTTAAATCGGGGTGGGTGGGTGGTGCTAAGCTGCTTTGGGCGATACTTTTATCTCCCTTCCAACCCGAGATTTACAAGCACAAAATTCACAAGCAAAATGCCTGTTGTTCCAGACTGCCGAGGTGGGTGTGGAGGAAGGGTTTGCACTGACTAGGAGCAGCAAAAGGCTGCCTTCCAGACATAGTTGGACTGCAGTTCCAGCATTCATCACAAGCCGTGCACTTCCTCATGTCTCTGGACTGCAGTTCCCAGAATTCTCCATGAACACTGGGAATTGCAGACCACGAACCAGGCCTGAAGATCTGAAGGCACTTCTTCCCTTAAGAAGAGCTATGGCTTTCTTTCCATGCACTATCAGCTTCTCCAGCGTTGTGGTTCAGGGGTTAAACCGCAATACTGCAGCCAAAACTCTGCTCACAACCTGGATTCAATCCCAGGAAGCCAACTTAAGGTTCACTCTGCCTTCCATCCTTCCACGGCTGGTAAACGGAGTACCCAGGTTGCCGTGGGGGGCAGTGTGTAGCCTGCAAAATTAAATGGTTACGTTTGCCAGAGAGTGCTATGGGGCAGTATATAAACAGCACACCTTGGATGAAACCAGCCCCAATCACTATCTTTGATTTACCAAATCTTTTGTTGATTTTTTTTAAAAAAAGAAAGTTGCCATGGGTGCTTCTCGTGAGTTGTAGTCTCATTGGACATTAGGCTCTGTAATCGGCACCTCCCAAAGAGCTATGACTCCAAGGAAGCAGTGAGGTAGGCTTGCTTGCTTAGTTTCTTATCAAAAACAGGAAGGCCAGGGAAGCCACGGATGCAGGTAAATATTCCAACAGCCCTTCTCTAGGGGCCTAAAATAATTCTACAGTTTTCGGTTTGTCCAAAAACACAACAGAGTGCACCCCTATTCATCACCACTGACTATGTTGCCTAGCAGTTGTTGGCAACTGCAGTCAAACTTGTGTAAGATTAACCTTGCTTACACTGCTGAAGGGCTTTTAAAGCCCAGGATCAGCACTTTAACAAAAATAATTCATTAGATGCATATCCCGCCTTCCTGTCCAAGATAAAACTCAGGGTATTTTGCAGTCCTAATAAAGGATGAACACAATTAAAACTCAAAAGGAAATGGACTATTAAAACTGAACTAAATTGAGATTCGATGCAATGGAAAATCAATGCCTCTACGCACCTCTGTGTGAATAAGTGGGTATCTGTAACTACGAGGGAAATACTGGAGGATCAGGAGGGGTGAGATGCTGCTAGGGAGAAGGAAATTTACTTCAGAGAAAGATGAGGCAGCTCCATCTAAAATTAGATTGCCAGCTTCCGGCTCTGGGAATTCTTGTCATAACACAATACAAGCAACCCATCCGGATCCTTTGAGGCGCTAAATCAAAATAAATATGATGAGTCATCCCCAAACAAACAGGTAAAGGAGATTAAAAGCACACAAGGGGGAAGAAGTATATCATTCGGCCTTGATCGGTTCGGTAAATCAAAGGTAATGATTGGGGCTGGTTTCATCCATCTGAGGGAAGGCGGGAAGGGGAGGGCAAAGCACGCAAGCGCACCGATACACATACAAAGGAAAAGCACACTATATGGATTACTTTAAAGTGATGTGGGCTGTTGGCCCTGGAGGAGGCAGCCTCCACTTTTCAACTGCTCCATTTTTAAAATGGAGTTGTGTACACGCAGTCCTGGTGAAAAACTATAAAATTTTGTATGCTAAGGAAATCTGGAAGCAGACCTGTGTTCACTATTTGGGACACCTCAGGAGAAGACCAGACCGGCTGGAAAAGACTGGAGAAAGTGGAAGGCAAGCAGGAAGAGAGGGTGACCAAATGTGTGGTAGATGGACTCCATAATTCTGGTGGCACCTGCGGGCATCATTATCTAAACATCACAAGCCTTTCCCCCTTCTGAGCCTTACAAAACGCACAGCTCTTTTATTATATCTAATTTTCACCAGATAGAATCGAGCAAAAAATGACTGAACCCACTGACTTTTTGTTAATCCAGTGGAAACCCAGATTATGACCATGTATTATGATCACTGGCAACTTCCGTGATTAATAAGTGTATGCCGACAGGATGTTCGGCAGGGGGTGGGGGGAGGAATGGGCTGATGATCCATCTGAAGCCTTGGGTCACGTTGACAAAACTGAAAAGGCAGAGAGTGTTGGAGCGACGCTGTCCTTGCTCTTATTAGGAAAGATGCAGCCTAGCCTCGCAGCAGTGCTGTGCAAGTACACAGCCCCGGAGAACCACTTTCGGCCAGGGATGGCCCCAATTCAGGATCAGAGAAGTCCTCAAGGACTGCCTTCCAGGGCTGAGCAGGGTTGCAGAGTGCGGCCAAAACAAGGACAGCAGGTTTCCCTGAGCTTTCTTACAGCCACAAACCGAGCCTCAGAACAGGAAAAACACAGAGGCTGAAAACCATGCCAGATGTCACAGAGAAGGGCTGTCGCTTTCAGAGGACGGGCTTGAGGCCAGACCGGGTCTCAGTTTGGGCCCTGATGACAAATGAAATGAAAGATCCACAACATTCTCAGCGCCTCCAACCCAGAAGTTAAAATCCAGTGGCCAAAATTGGAGTGCATAGACACTGAAGTTGGATCACAGTAAGGTACCCCCTTTAAGAGGCACAGCTCCTGTCTTGAGCAATATCGGGATTTCTAATTTGTTGACATTTATTTTAGAGACCTCTAGT